CCCGGTATTCAAACAAAATACATAAATTTAGATATTATATATGGAAAGATTATATTTACAAATCTTTTATTCATAAACTCTTACAAACTACACTAAGTATGACCGATCATGCTTCAATCAAGAGTGTATGACCGGTCATACTTAGTTTAACTTTTTCGTAAACGGATCTTTCCCCATCATACATAATTATGTTGTAAAATCTTGCAAAAAAGAAACTAAAATGAATTGTTGGAAGTTTTCGTGGATGTGTGCGGAGACAGATAGTTTTGGAGAAATAAAATATTGTAAAAAAGGGTTGTTATATTTATTATCATTTTAGTCTTATTATTTTTATTATCTGATTGGTTACCGTTGGATTAATTTAAAATCAACGGTAGTTAATTTTTTTTCATTTTTCAACCGTTGATTTCAAATTGATCCAACGATAACCAATCAGATAGTAATAGTAGTAAAACTAAAATGGTGAAAAATAAGAGTAAGATGGGGGTGAAGGAAAATAAATAAATGAGGTTGCTACGTCAGAAAAAGTTATGTTAGTAACACTTCGGGGATATTCTTGCTATGGGCCAACATAAGTGATGCGAAATCGGTAAGTATACCATTCATTTCAAGTAATAAAAGTGATAAGTAAATATCGTTCCCTCGAGGATTAATGCACCAACTACTAATTTAACTCTTCCCCTTAATTTGGAAAAACTCGGCTTAATTGTGAAATTATTTGTTAACAGAAATTTTTTGTGAAATTAATGAATCAAACGCATTCAATAAATATCAAGAACGTCAAGGAAAATGTGAATAATTGAATTTGTAAAAGAAATTGTAGTCAAGATGCACTTCATGTCTGATCCTCCTTTATATTCCTAAATTGAATTTTATAACTAACTAATTTATTAGCTCAGACAATTCATTATTTTTCTATTAAATAGTTGAACCCTAATTAATATTTTCAACCCTTTAACCCAATTAGGATCTAGTGTCCTATTAATTCCTCTTGAATTAAGCTTTAAGCAAATGAATTAAAAGTCCGCAATATATGTAAGCCTATGTCTAGATCATACACATATTGTTATTCTACCTTTGTCTAGATTAAAACCTCAATATTCCTGTTGTGAACTCTAACCCTCAAAACCCTATAATAGAGTGATCAGTTCTATAAAGAATATGGAAAAATTAATACAGGCAGAATAAAACTAACTAAATTAAATTAATTGTAAAAACAATTTAAAAATAAAAAGGATTCACATTGGATCCGTGATCCCAACTACAAAAAGAACTTAGCCAGACATATCCGACTTTAACAAATCAAAATAGTAAAAAGAATTCATAACAAAGAAAGAAAAGAAAAATATGAAGAAGAAAGATCAATGGTCTTCAATCTTCAAGTTCTCCGGAATCGTGATCTCCAGCGTGAGTCTCCTTCGGGAATGGATCATCTCATGTGAAAAAGTGGTCATGTGATCATGTTATTTAATCACAACCACTAATTGATGATGAGATAAGAGAGAGAAAAGTGTATAATTTTCAAATGAGTGGTTGTGATCAAATAACATGATCATATGATCACTTTTCCACATGAGAGGATCCTTTGAATATTGTTTCCTCTGTCAAATTGCCTTTTTGAGTTTCCAAGAGATGCCTTTTATCGGGATGAAACCATGTCTTTTAATTTTCCATAATATCTTCAATGGAATCTTCACTAGAATTTTCTATCATATCAATAAGTCATCAGCCCAAATCTTGAATTTTCTTGCTCTGTACCTACACAAATTATCACTCAAAAACTAGGATTTTCTTACCCTGCAGTTGCAAAAGTTGTTGCTTCAATTGCAATTATCCGCCTTCCGAGCTCTTCTTATTTTTATATCTCGAGGGTCTATTGGATGCGATTGTCTCTCTTCATAAGTTTGTGGTTTGATTTCCAAAGAAATCTTTTAATGAGTGAAAGCTTGTACTATTTTGAAAATGGGTCAGAGACAGATTTAGAGATGGAATGTGCATTTTCGTCTCTAATTCTGTAACTATTAGAGACATAAAAATTACATCTATATTAGTGAGGGATCTTGTTCCATTTCTAATAAAGACAGATTATTTTCTGTTTGTATTTGAGACAGAAAATGATCTATTTCTATTAGAGATGACTTTTGAGATGGATCATTTACTTTCGTCACAAAATCTGTACCAAATAGAGACAATATTTTTTGTTTCAAATAGGGATGAAATATAATCCCTTATTAATAGAGATGAAAAAAATGTCATCCCTATCAGTGACGAAATTGGAGACGAAACATGTATTTGCATCTCTAATTCCATCACTGCTAGTTACAGAAAAATTCAATCGCTATTAATGAGAGACCTTGTTTTATCCCTAAGAGAGACATATTATTTTTTGTCCCTATTTGAGACAGAAAATTATCCATCTCTATTAGAGACGAATTTTGAGACGTGTCATTAAAATATGTCTCAAAATTCGTCCCAAATAGAGACACGTTATTTTTCGTCTTTAACAAGAACGAAAAATAATATGTCTCTCTTAGAGACGGAACACGATCCCTTGTTAATAGAGACAGAAAAAGTTTCATTTCTATCAGTGACAAAATTAGTGACGTAACTACATGTTGCGTCTCTAAATCCATCGCCAATAGAGATGGAAAAAAATCTATCACTAAATTTCCTCACTAAGCCCAAATGTATATCCTTAATATTATCACTATTTTTATATATTATGTTTTGTCTCTAAATCTATCCCTATTAGAGACGAAAAAATAGTCATCTCGATTAGAGACAGAGAAATAGTCCTCTCTATTAGAGATAGGTTTAGAGACGAATTTGTGTCTATTAGAGAAGGATTGAATTTTTGTCTCTAAATCCGTCAATAATGGAGACAGAAATATTTTCGTCCCTAATTCCCTCCCTATTTGCAAATAATTGTTATTCCATCACAAAATTCGTGTTTTTTGTAGTAGTGATAAACCTTTGATAAAACTATAGGGCTATATGGAGTAATTTAACCTTTTAAATTACTTCTTTTTAGATTTTTATTTTTTAAATTTTATCTTAAATAATTATTCATATCTCTATTTTAACTTAATTTTTAAATTTTATTTAAATTTAAGAATATCTTTATAGTGCTTGGAATACTTACTTAGTTTTGAAAACAGACATATCATATATTTATTAGAAATTCGAGCAATTTTGATGCCATAACTTCTTCACCTATCAAATGAAAAATGTTTATGGCCATTAAATTTAGGAGAGCCAACACTTAACGCGGTTCCGCCCCCTTCACACACTTGCTAAAGTTTCATTGTCTTTTTCGGGATACTCATATACATTGTAATAGTATGAATGCTAAATTGCATAAATGTACGAATTTAGCGAAGAAAATATTCTGGTTTGTATGTTTCATTGATCAAGCAAAGTAGATATGTGTTTACTCTTAATTATGTGAATTCTGATCTACTTTATATCAATGACGTCCGAAGTTGTTGAGTTGATTTAACAACAGCAAATAAATTAATATCGTGTTCCCATATTTTTTTTTTGAATAAAGTCAAGTTTACAAACCCCACAACAAATTCAGTCATGTCCGTGACCGTGACACAACATAATCACAGGCTAGTATTAGACTGCATGCAAGCAATACAAATTAGTGGTCGTAGCTGTGTTTCGAAAATATTATTGGAGATCCTTTATAATTGCATTGCCTTTAATCATGGTGTCATTTTTAATCAAATCAAATCCACTCGTCCTCCTTAAGCTAATAAAACAAAAACGTAAGCGAGAGTTGTTTAACTAAAATGTCGTTTTATGTTAACACTTTTCATCAGCATTCTATCTTCCCATCTCCACCTTTAATCAATTATATTAGAGAAAAAGAAGTATGCTTTTTTTTTCTTTTTTTTTTTTGTAAATAAAGAAGTATGCTTTTGAATTATACAAACTTGTGTCCTTTTAGGTGTTTTACACAGAGCAGGATCGGTTAAATTTTGTGTAAATCTGAAAAGTTGCTTTTTTTTCTCTTCTCAATTACATCGCTGACATATAAAGTGAAAAAAAAAAACAATTTTTTTAGAATTTACACAAAGTATGACCGATTATACTTTGTATAAGTCATTAAAAGGACATAATTTATATCCTTTAAAACGATACACACTAAACCCATTATATTATGGACAATATACCGTTATCTCTCCTCAATGATGCTCCCACTATAATATATCATTCACACACAGTAGATGCGTTGCTTTTATGTTCCCCTATCAATCACCATGAACATTGAGTGGTATACCAATAATTCGTGTAAAAAGCATCTCATATCTGACTTGTAGTACATTAAAAAATTCTTTTTTTTTAAGGAAAAAAAATCTTTTTTTTAAGAAAAAAACATTTTTCTTAAAAAAATTATTTTTATACTTTTTTTTTTAATTTAACACAACTCTAATTATTTTTTTAGGGTGAGTTGATTTTTTCCGATATTTTCACGAACTTCAACTATTTGAGTCGGCTATAAGATTAATTCAGAATGTGAGGCGTATCAAGATGAAAATATTTAAATTACTGCCAAAATTGACATGTGAGAATTGAACGAGACTCTTTTCTTTCTACTTACGTATTATTTTTCCTATAAAGACTTACTAAATATAGTTATATCTTAAAAATTTAAAATGCGAAAGATTAATGTAATATTAATCATGGGTGTTTTTGCAAATCTCACAATCCCGGGAGGTGGATATATTGATATGAATAATAAAATCTTTTTATTTGATTAGATATTCCGCGTTTGAAATTTAAACTATCAGCATTGACGAAAGAAAATGAAAATTTATGACAGATGACTACTTATGTCAAGAAAAAAAAATCAGAATATATTATTTAATTATTATCTGAGGTTTATTAAATAGAAGGCGAGTTTAAATTATTTAACGAGACTAACGTATAATGTCTCTCTTACGAACATTACAGTATTACACCTATAATTCAAATGATTCAGAAATTAGTTTGCCAAAAGAGAGAGAGAGAGAGAGATTCAGAACTATTTGTTCAAATCGTCTAACACGGGGTACGGGTATTCAGGTTCATGGCAGCAGAGGAAGTAGTTAAATAAACCATAAAAACTAGATACTGTGTCACATAAATCACAAACTTCAAAGCATCCTTATATCTCTGCCATTACAGTGTCCCAAACTGTCAGCTATTTATTCTATCCAAATTTATTGCTCTGTTCCTTATCACGCCCCCATTTCACTGCCACATCTTTATATTCCTACCCAATTCAACTACTCGAATTTCGAACCCTTCAATTGAGTCCCCTTCTATGGCTTCCGCAACAGCCAAACCACAGAAAAGACTAGAAGAATTTCTAAAGGAGCAACAAGAACCTTTCATCTTAGAGGTTTACCTGTTAGAAAGAGGGTGCTCCAAAAAATGGAGCTCAAATGGTGATTCAGGCAAGAGCTTGGAGAAATCGGCAAGTTCTGGTTTAATCAAAAGGAGAAAAGCTCTCTTGCCATTTTCCAAAGTTGTAAAAGCTCTGCATAAGAAGCTTGCTTTTCACAACCAAAGCAGCACTTTAATCAGTGACACTGATAATAGAAAAGAAAGTGTTAACGTTAGTGTCCCTTACGAAGCTGGTAGTGTTGATCAAACAGTTGTGGAAACAGATCGGTTCTCAACCGCTAGCAGCTCAACCTTGTTCAATTCATGCTCAGATATTGATGAAGATGGAACTTCGTTGTCGTCACATAAAGATAAACATTTGTTTTCTCCATACACCTGCAATATTGGAGCACAGAGGTATGAACTCAAATTCTGATTTACTTTAACGTGAAAACTATTTGTTTTGAGAAGCTGAATATAAAAAAAAAAAAAAACATATTAATTAGTTTTGTTACTCTTACGAACAAAGCCAGCAGGCTACCAACAATGGAAAGCAGAGACATAGATGCATAGAAGGTAGTCCTGTCCTGTTCTACAATCTCAAAATAGTGTGTTTCTTCGGTTATTATAATCATATGTTTTAACTAATTTTATTATCAACTATATTTAATGATGAACCAGTTTGTGCGACACATGAAACACTGACCAAGGATGTTTCGGGATGTTGCGGTGTCCTTATGCCTAAGAAAATCACGGAGGATTCACTATTATCAGCTGCTCTGTGGAGTTCACTTATTCAGTCATCAAAGAGAGAGAATTATACTATGGAATTGCGAGATCTCCTTGGGCCTAATGTTTCCCAGGTGTTGAAATCTTCAAGGGTATTGCACAAGACAAAGCAACTACTATTTGATTGTGTCAGAGAAATTGCGATGAATCTTCCCAAAAAAGATGATAAACAACAAGTTTACAAACAAATCCTGGGACCTGAAGAGCTCGGAAAGGTGTTATGGAAGAGAACAAAAGACTGGGGTCAACATGCTGCAGATGAGACAAATCTGACATACTTACTGACCTTGGATTACTTGGATTCCATCAATGAATGGAGTAAATTCAAGCGGCAAGTGAAAGATATTAGCGTTCAGATCGCCGATGCAATTTTGGATCGCGTGAACAGTGAAATTGTATCAGAGATGATTGAACTTTTGCCACCAACCAACCATATAACAACTTCATTTCGATTCTAAAATCTTCAGGCCATTTCTGACCCTTCATTCTTAAATGATGGGTTGCCCTATCATTTTCGAATTGAAACAACAAACATGCCCACGATCCTCGAATTGGAATTTTCATTTTGATGATTTCATAATTTGCGTTTTTTGTTGACTGGAATAGTGAATCAGTGATGTCATCGTTTATGCCGTGAACAAAATTTAATTCATCCGTCCGTCAGATAACCAACTTTTTTTTCTTCATCACTATATGATTATTTTATGCCTTGATTACCAAATAATAATTCTTTAGCTCAGCCCCATTGTTAACTCTGAAATTAATTTGCCGTGTTATAGAAGGTAAAATGCCCGCAACCATCATGAATGTTGCATTTTTCATTTTCTGGGTTGATATATGAATTCAATTCTTATAGCCATTACCCATTAATGACTGTAGATGCTCAAGTTCTTGAAAAGCAAAGCTTAATAATAATAATCTTATTTATGGGTGCACCTTATATCAAATACAGGTGAAATAATTAAATAACAAAAACTGCAGAGATGTGAATTGTGAAATAATATATGATGCCAGCATGTATGTATGTATGTATAACATTATTAGAAATGCAGCCGAAAGAAATATAAGTCTATAGGATGTAGACATTTAAACTACTAAAAGACACCCCATAAGCGAGGGTGTTCCACCCTTATCTCCAAGCATTTAAAGTGAAAGTTACAAGCGCGGTTCCAGAGGCCCATCGATATCACTATTATACTTCAAAGTTCAAACATTACATTGTGGGGACACAGTGATGATGTCTCTACTCTCTACCCACTATCGCCGCTGCCATTCAGCTATTATACTTTCCATTAAAGATGCCGTTTTGCCTCCATGTAGGCACTACGCCGCACTTAAATAAGGGGGCCTAAGTCATCTCCTTCAGTGATTCAGCATTTATCTGCACGAAATCTGCAACTGGGAACATAGGATTTATTTGAATTTGCATATATACAGCAGTCGTCACAAAATAAATATAATACCACACTTATAAGACAAAAGTATATACAGTAATTGATAATAAAACTTCAACAAGAGAACAAAAATACCAAATATTTCTTTTTACAGTCCGTTATCCTGGATTCACAGACGAGTTCAGTGAAAATAGGAGTGAAAATAATTAAATTATATTTGATAAACAAAATTAACATTCTTCCTAAGATGCGGGTGAAATTCTTTTATCTACTAATATGCAAAAAGGTTAGCAACGAACTATTGAATCTCTCCATCTTCATGGAGCTGCAGAAATATTCTAAAACGTAAATTTGGACTCAAAATAATTTACTAAATAAAGATGCAGAAATATCATGTAGCTTTTTGGACTTCCTGCTGTCAAATTCCTATTCCTTTCAAGAAACCAAATCCTCTAACTATGTTGTGCTCAAATTAAGGGAGTGTTTAACGAATCAGGAGTTTTCAGCGCATCTCGTGAATGTCTAGGTTTACATGTCTAAAATTATTTGTTGGAATCGGAGTTGAATTTGTATAAAAGCTCATTTAATAAAAAGGCCTTAGCCTTCAATTCAAAAGTTCGACCTTAAAACCTCTCAGGCTGACTTAGTATATAAATTTTATTTTTATTTTATATTTTTTATACTACTCATAATAGCTTTCTCTCTCACTCTCCTCAACTCATTTCACCCCATTTTATTGGTTAAACATACTTTTTGAATGATTTTGTTCTATATTATACTGTTTGGATATACATTGAATTTACGAACTTTGTGGAATTATTGGTGTTGTTAATCGTATATTTTGTTTGGATAAATTACTATTGTCTTATTTTTTTTAACAGGTTAAATCAGGCTTTAATTTTTTGTAAATAAATCAGGCCACATGCCGATAATTAAACTCATAACAGGTAACAGACTAGGACAGACTGACATATTTAAATACAGGCTTAGTCTTTTAAGATCAAATTTCAACTCGGCTCGGTCCGGCTCGTTAACACCCCTAGCTGTGACTATTATGGAAGCCGAACAATAATTCTCAAGTCCAAGCCCAAGTTGAGACTTGAACAAAAACAGCCCAAATAGTGAATCATAAAGTAGCAATGATAACCTCTTATGCAGCTTCAAGTATCACTCTGATGGTTCTATTGAATGTTACAAAGCTCGTTTAGTGGCAAAAGGGTTTATCCAACAAGAATGAGTAGATTATTTTGATACCTTTTCCCCTGTTGCGAAGCTTACATCTGTTAGAACCTTGCTTGTGATTGTTGCTATAAAAGGTTGGCATCTTGAGCAATTGGACGTGAATAATGCGTTCTTGCATGGTGATCTCCACAAATATGTGTATATGAAGCTGCCTCTATATCTCTTAGCAAAGCCAAACCTCATTTGCAAGCTTCAAAAGTCACTCTATGGCCTGAAACAGGCAAGTCGACAATGGTATGCGAAGCTTTCCTCCGCTTTGTTATCACTTGGATACACACAAGCCAATGTTGATCATTCAATGTTTATCTTGGCCAACTCTCACTCATTCATTGTCCTCTTAGTTTATGTCGATGACAAATACTATCAAGCACCTCTAATGCGTTGGCGGGCATGTTACCGGGCTGAGCCCATTTTGCCACCTCTAACGTCAGCATTTCAAAGTTTTTATATTTATCCACACAAAAAGGTTCTTACAGTTGCATCTAGATTATTATCTATCTATATTTTCTATAATTGCCTCTAAATCGACGCTCTGAAGTGTGTGTATTTATGACATAATATTAGAGTTGGCAAATATTTGAGTTAGAACTCAGTACGTTGGATATTCTAACAAACACTTCATAATTGAAGTTGAATGTAGTAATACCAAAAAACCATTCATTAGCTTAACTGCATAAGTATAAAAAATTATTCACAAAATTAACATATATATACGCATGTATTTAATGAATCGTATTTAATCTCAATAATACTTAAACTCTACCGACAAAAATTTGGTGAAGAATATGAAAAGTCAACTACTCATCGGGTTGAAAACAATTAATCATGAATAACATTATATAATGATATATTCAAAAATATTGAATGGTCATTCCTTTTAATTGAGTAATTAAAAAAATAAATATTTATTTTTTTGCAAGGATTTGTAGCCTTAATATTTGAAATTTTACAAATTAGATTGAAATCATACTTAGGAATTTAATTATAAAAGATGAAGGGTGGAATTTTAATTTAATTATAAAAACATATTGGCGGGCAGGGCGAGCCCGCCCGCCAGGCAGAACTCATTTTGCCATCTCTAACTGTCATCATTTTATATCAGTGTGTAATATATTTTTATATTTGTCCAAAAAAAAGAGAGGTTCTTATAGTGAGATGACGTCTAGATTACTATCTGTCAATAATTTCTATAGTTTTAAATTACTTTTAAATTCCACAAAAAAAAAACTCAAATTATTAATTACTTTTAAATTTCTCCTTTTATGTTAAAACTTTTTATACTCCCAAAATCTTAATTGATTATCTTTTAATTAAAAAAATTATATTTTTCTCTCTCCAAATCTTAATTGCTTATACATTCAAAAAACTTTATTCTAGTCTCCATTAAAGAATGACACATATTATTCTTAACTTTTTAAAATTTCAAATTCAAATATTTTTATTAATTAAGAATTCTTTTATGATATCTAATATTTATCTCTTTTAATTTAATTTTTATTTTATTTAAATTATTCATATTTATTTTATAATTTTTAATATAATTTCTCTTATATATTTTTGTACTTATATTTTTGTATTTAAAATAAAAATAAAAATATGAATCTAATACATGATATATTTGTTAGTATACATAACTTGCATATAATAAGAATTGATTATAAACTTAATTTGTAAATGTAAATTGTTGGTTTAAACATTTATATATACATACCATTGCTAGAAGAACTATGATGATGATCGCTTTTGTTTGACCGTTGAAAATATACTAACATTTATGAAGAAAGATTTGAGCCTATCATCAAAAGGCACTAATTAAAGATAGAATTAAGGGTTTCTTTCTTATTAAGCTTACACACATTTGAATTTATATACTTAATTTAATATTTTACAATTTAATAATTATATATATATATAATAATTTTAAATAAAATTAATAATAACATATTATAACATCAGGGTATTTTTATTTCTAATCGATTTTTGGTTTTATTATTTGTATAAGAGTTAGTGAAGATGAAGAATTTCAACCTTTCACTACACCAAAAACGGTATTTTACCACGACAATTTAGCAATGCTTATATTACGTTGCAATTTAGTAATGACTAATATAGTGACCAGTATATATTAGCTACGTGACCAGAGTTAACAAAAAAAATGAGCTCTTTCAAAAATAAAAAAATAGCATGGGCACACGTTAGGATCGTTTCTTTCCTCTTCACCACAAACCCTATTTCTCTTTCTCTCTCTTGCTCTAAGATGTGATTATTGGTGTGATTTTTCCTCCAGGTTTCGCTCTCTCTTATTCAAATATTGTTCGATTCTTCTTCTGTTCCTTCACAAGCTACGGATCTTAATCCCATTTCCATCTGAATTTTGAATTTCACCCCTGAATCCGAGTTTTCCTTTTTCCATATGTTTTTCCTTCAGATTTGTACGAATTTTAAGTGAGTGTTTGCTTTGTTTTCGTTAATTTTTAGTTTCTGAGCTAGTTTCATTAACAATAGCTTAAAACTAATTTATGATTTTTCTTATTTTCTTTTTCTTTTTTGTATTTCAGGAACATTGTTTTCACTGTTTCCTTGAGTTTCTAAGCTCAATTGAGCTTTCGATTCGAGTTCGTTCGAATTTTCTGCGTACAAATGACTCATTTTTGGATTTTGTTGGACATCATGTTCACTTGTTAAGGTATGGTCTTGTAGTTTTCGTTGCTTTTCCTTCTTGTTTTAGTGCAGCTCGTATGGTTTGGTGGAGATTGTGGAACTATTGTTTTGAGTGTATTAGAAAATTCTGGGTGATATTGGTTTGTGTGCCACATGTTTGATCAATTGTTTCAATGGTAAAGAATGACATGACTTTAAAATTATTAGGATTAAATAAGGAAGAAGGAAATGAGAGAAGATGAATATCTGAATAATGCTCTATTAGATTGATATGGTGTGTTTCTGCAAATTATAAACCCAACATTTGGAAACATCACTTTCTGCAGTAGTTTTGGATAAATCATTTCAGAGGCAGGGAAGCAACAAC